TAATTTATTTTGGACTGTTTGTGAGTTTGAAATCTGATTTTGAAAAACAACCCCAGGGGAATTGGCAGGAGGGGGGGGGGGGGAGGGAGGAGAGGAGAATGAGGCTATTGCAAACTACCAATGGGACTGAAAATGTGTATGAATATGTCAAAACATATATGGATCCTTTTCCATTTTCCATAAGATCTACTACTAACTAATATTTACGTGTCATATAGTGACATAATATAGTACTTAAGTACTTACAGTAATGGGATATTTTTGGGGTGTGTTCCAGCGGTTGTTAGGTAGGGAAATATTCTCCACATTTTACAAATAGGGAAACTGAGGTATATAAGATGCACAGGTAATTCGTTGCAGAGACAAAAAGAGCACCCAGGTTTCCTGGTTGCTAGTCTTGTATTTTAACCTTTTCCCCACTGGGTTTTATGCCTGAGAGATACTCTACTGTAAACTTCGGGCGTTTCACTCAAATATCTCTGGGGATGGTCCCCACTGCCTGTTTCCTGCCTGGTCATTCCATGGAATTGGAGTGTAGCCACCAGAAGAATCAAAACTCTCTGCAGGGCTTTTCTTACCTTGGATGCTGTGGTGTTGTCTGGTGTTTGTGGATGCAGGAGTTCACAGTGCAGGGGCATAGCACTGAGGAGATGTGCTAAGCTGAGAAACATAGTAATACAGGCTAGCACCATGGTTTCTCTTCAAGGGAATGAGAGAGAATGGACTGAATCTCTCTGACTGAACTGTCTCAGCATGAGAATCTCCATGTATAGATTTCCGTGCCAATGTTCAGCTGTCCACTAGGCGGTATGACATTTGTACAGGGATGGAGCAATGATGTTCCTTTCCAGGAAATCTTCCAGATAAAAGCGCTATCATTTGCACTGCATTCAGCATTAGATTGACCTGAATACTGGCATTGAGCTAATGCATGTGATGTGCCACTTTAAGGCGATTCTCTGACGGACACCCATTGCAAAAGGGACCTCGGTATTATGCAATAATGAGAAGGCCCCATTATGTGCACAGGTTGCAATAGGTTGGAGCACGGCAGGACTTGAACTTACAGTTCAATGTCATTGCCGTCACATACGGCTGATTGGGATTTCCTCCAAAGCTCTGAAGGGCAGTGACCCAGCACCTGGTTTGTGTTTTTTTAACCCCTTGCATAGTCCATTCATACAGGGTTCTTTTCATCTCTAACCTTCTGACTCTGTAGTCCAGGGCTACTCAACTTTGGAAGCCCTGGGGGCCACAATGCCGAGGGCCGCAACTTAAATGTGGTTACATGTACATGCAAATATATACGCAAATATATGCAAATAGCTTCTTTCATACTGATGGGCCATGAATACAAAGCACTTCCCACAATGCTCCGGCGCTCCCTACACCTCCTCTCTGGGGCTAGAAACGCCGACACCCTGTACTCGTTTGTTCCAGCCAGCCCGTCTGCTTGTGTCTTTCAATGCTCCCGCCTGGGAGATGTCTTGCTGTTGTGGAGAGTGTTCCCAGTGGAGGCCATGTTCAAAGAATCCCACCCGCAGGCCATGAGTTGAACCCCGTGTAAACCCAAACAGCACCGTGGGCTGCGTATTGAGTAGCCCTGCTGCAGTCCTTCCTCACACTGCTCATGGATTTCAAGGGAGTGAAACACACACATGTTGCAGGATGAGGCCATTGGATTATTCCAGCCCAACCAATTCAAAGCTTCAATATATAAAATCTTTATAATGGCTCATCCCTCACTTTATCCTTTCCATGAAATCCAGGGGGTCAGTCTGCTGATGAATGGGGCTGTGATGCGGTTCACTGTAAAAACAAGATGCATTTCTGGTTGTGGAGACTGGAAGCAATGTGTAACCAAATCAAAGCTCTGCAGCAAATATTTTTGCTTCTGGAAGTCTATTGGCTATTTAAATGGACACCTCTTTCCTACTCACTCTTCCCCTTTCTTCCCATTGCTGACTAGCTGCCTGGATGTAGGGCAAGGTGAAAGCAAAATACAATTCTACTGTCCTGGCTAGAAGTAGTGGAGTTTGTGAAATTTCTGATGACAAAATATTGACTTCGCAGTTCTCTGGGGACATAGGGAAATATTTGCAGGCACATGGGGACAAAAGCTTGTGACACTATATATATATTTTTGTTAGTTTCTAAGGTGTTACAGATCTACTTGTTTTCCCCAAAGTCATGCAGGAAGCCTGTAGAAGAGGCAGGAATAGTTATGGGCACCAGTCTCCTGATGGCTCAGATGGTGCCTTAGTTTGTGTTCCAAGGTTTTGTATTTGTAAATTATGGGTGCTGTGCCCTGCACATCGGATATGACATTAGTGAACTGTGGTTCTTGTCCAGTCTTTGCATGGCTCTGGGGTGTAATTGCCAGAAGAAGCAGGAGCCTCCATAAGGCTTTTCCTATCATGACTGCTGCAATGTTCTCAGGTATTTGTGTTTAAAAGCTGGAGGCTGAGCAATCAGATGTGTAAGAGGAGAACAGTAGTAATGTAGACCTGTATAATGCCAGAGTTTCACTTGAAGTGAGCTGGAATAAAATGGTCTGGCTGAAGTTGCTCATCTGGGCATACAAATCTATTTTATTCATCCTCATTTACTGGTTAACCCATTACAAAGCCAATTTTCCCAGTTTCCCCTGCCTTTAACATTTGCATTTCCACATCAAAAGCTATACATGGGACACATCAAACTATAGAATTGACAGGTAAACACTTTTTGCTGTTATATACATCTCTGGGGTTTTGTTATTTTCACTCCAACACATCTGATGAAGTGGGTTTTACCCATGAAAGCTAATGACTCTCTCTATTTTTTGTTAGTCTCTAAGGTGCCACAGGACTACTTGTTTATAAAAATCAGCCAGCCATTTTTGGGGGGAGTAAATCTGTTGGGCAAATATAAAATGCTTGTGATACATTGTATTTGGTTAATGAGGAGTATTTCCGGGAAAGTTCTGTGGTTTAAAAAAGTATCTTTTCACCGACATCTGCACCTCAATTCGGTGTGAAATAGGAAGCTGTGAGCTTTTGCATGTTCCCAAAAGAAAAAAAACCCTGTGTCAGCGTTCCCTGTAAGCTGGGCACTTCAAATTCCACCCAGCTGATTAGCAGAGTGCCTACAGTTAGGTTTTTTGTTTCTATTGGTGGTGCACCTACATATGTTCTGGTGCACATAAAAATTATTCTGCACATGGAAACATCCACTCATGGATGGAAAAGATTAGCAGGAACATTGCCCTGTCACACAACACTTTCTGTTGAAAGTTCCTGTCACTGACTTCAGTCTTCCAAACCTTATAAAGATCCCCAAACATTAAAAAGATGAAACAATAATGTTAAAATGCCCCAAAAAATTAAAAGAAGGGAAAATTCACAGTTAAAGTCACTCAAGGAATTTTGACTGTGCCCTAGCCCCGGGGGTTGGCTACGTTGTGGTTAGGCAGTGTGACTTCCCCCAGGAAATGGAGCTAAGGTATATGCAGGCGGTGATGGGTGTAGTGCAAATGGAACTGCTCTATGTGTCATTGTCTTCAAAAGGGTGAGGTATAGATTCTTATCAGGACCCTGGAGCATGATGTGTCTTACACAATACTTTCTGTTCACTTTGTGTTCCTCATCCTACCAGGTGCCTCTAATCTTCAATTTACTCTGCTCCTCCTGGCTTTTTGCATGAGAAGATCCCAATGAAACTGATGGGAGGCTGTGGGATCAGGCCCTAAAACAATATCAACATTTAATTTTGAAGCCATAGTTTGTAAAATCTCAAAACAAGTTGAAAGGATCCTTCTGCATCTATCCTTGAGTTAATCTCAAACACACACTGTCTGAGGACTCTTGCCCCCTCTGGGTGATGATGGCGTTGCACCAGGCATCATGTAGTGAAGTTCCAAGGTCTGGTTCAGTCTCTGGGGGGGCCTTGCACTGATGCTGCAGGTGGTGCACACGATGGAAGGTTGGAGAGCACAGTGTGCTGTGTTGTTTTTGGCCTTCTTGGCAATGTGGCTGAAGACCATGCAATGCCATTTTTGGATATAGCAAGTGAGTGGGTAGGGGTATTATGATACCTAGTACTGAAGCAGAGAGGGAATCTTTAAAGTCAGTTGTTCCCTTCCCCAGGTCATCTCTTAGCTGAACTGGAGGGACCGAGATGTTACTGTCTATTTCAGTTCTCACTGAAGTAAAATAGAACCTTTCCCTTGACTTCTAATGTAAGCTAGATCAGGTTTCACTAACACTGCTGCTATTCCTAGTTCCCATGCAGGGAAACCATGCAGCAGAAAGAGAGAATAAGACAAAATAAAATTCTTTCTTTGTAGCTGGGCTGCAGTTTTGATTCATACCCAAGTCTCTTCCATCTCCTGTCTCTTTATCACAGAAGAAAACAACAGCTTTCTCAAGGCCCATTACTATGGCACTGCTAGCTTGATAGGGACAAATCATGAGTTAATACCCATTCACAAAGTGTTGTCATGCCACTTGGTGAAGAAGTTTTATATTTTTAATCATTCAGCCATGTTACAATTGTTTTAAAGAATATTTAAAGATGTGTGTATAATATTTTGGTGCATAGTAAGTGTTGCTTGAAAGGGCAGATGTCAGTACAAGATCTCTACTGTTTAAAAAAAGACTATCTGTGTTTTTTGACATATTCACAGAACAGTGATTGTTAGTCAGATTTATCTTTATTTTTAAATTGGCAAGAAAGAACAAAAGTAAAGTCTCTAGGGGCTAGCATATTGTGTGGGTCTCCTTTGCAAAAGAGCATTAGGAGCTGAGAAAAAATAGTTGTTGAGCTCTGCATGCCTGAAGAGAGCGCTTAGAAATTTAGAGGTGCAGATACAGAAAATGAAAATGTCAGTAGTTTTATGCCGTAGAAACCACATGATCTGATATGACAAGGGGACATCCTTCAGTGGCTAAACATGTAACAAGAATTAACAACTGCTGATATCCAGTGTGGAGGGCAACATTGCCATGGAAATATGAATTACCCCAGAGCTGGTTCTAACATGTCAACTGAATGATTCTTGTCGTCTCTCTCTTCTTCCATTGGACATAGATCCTGCAGAGATGAACAAGGATGAAAATCAGCAGTGTGTGTGTAAAATGTGCTCTTAATATTACAGGATTTTCTTACAGCAAAAGAAGCACTTTTTCTTGTGGGTTTCCAAATTCCTCCTGCCTAACACACCAAAAAATGTCGATTTCAGCAGCCCCTGTGGCAAGCAGCTCTGTAGCAAGAACTGTATGTTTTCTCTATTTAAAGCGTTAAATTGCTTCAGCCAGTGTGGATTTCTTATCTCATTTCTGCTTCAGGAATATGAGCAATATTTGCTCAGCAGATAACCTGTCAAGCAAGCCAATGGAGGTGAACATTAAAGGTGAAACTCCTTCATTGGGAGAGGAGAGACAATCTATTAAAACATAGTATCCCTTGGTGGGATAAGCATTGCCCATCATTACCTACTGGAAAGAGCTGGCTGCTCAGAGGGAACAAAACACTCATGAAGTGGGTGTGTGTGTATCTGGCCTTTATTGCTGCACACTGGCTCAATGTTCTTGCAGGCCCTGGGTTTGGCAAACCCAGTTTTCACTGTTGTGGTGTTTAAACCTGACAATTCCAAAAGACTTGAGAGGATTAAGAAATGGATGGTGAATGTGGAGTCTATTGGCACGTCCCCAAGGAAGCCAAGCATTAGGTACTTTGGAAGGGAAAGACTCTAACCTAAGACCAGCCCGGTACCTGATCATCATCTGTCAGACTTACAGTAACTGTGACGCTTGTGTTTCTTGGGGGGAAAGTAGTCAATGCAGTTAAAATTCTCTGTGTTTAATTCCTGTTAAGGCATGGGCATGGAGCCAGGTTTGACCCGATATTTTTTCGGGTATGTATAACACTAGGACATTTACCCAGCATCACTCGGGTCCTTAACTCAAGTATTTTTTGTTTTTTGGGAAATAAAATGAAAATGTCCAGGCTTCATTGAAATCATTAGGCTGGGGTTGGGGCTGAGGGATTCAGTATGCAGGCTGTCCCAGGGAGAGAGGATTACCCCAGTACTCTCTCACTGCAGCAGCTTGGGGCCAGGTGAAAAGCACCTCTCCATAGTCCCTGCAGCTCCAGTGGGCTCTGCTGGGGGAGGGTGCATGTCCCCAGGCTGGGGAAGGTCCAGGTTTGTCTGCGCCCTGTGCTGCTCAGCCAATCAGGAATGCAGCAAACTTTGCACTTTCCCGTTGCTCCCTGACAAAGGAGAACAGCCAGCAATGCTCCCATAGAAGTGGGAAGGGAGAACTTCACCCCCTCCCACTCCACACTGCCTAAAGGCCACCAGGGTGGTAGAAGGGTTGGGGCTGAGGCAATCCCAGATGGGGGAGGGAGTGTACCTGACAGGTGATTTTGTTTCTTGTCTGTATAGTTTCCTGAGAAGCAATCCCATTCCAGGCACATCCCATGTTCCTGGCCCAATGAAACCCTGACCTTACTTTAAGTTATGATAAGAGGAAGCTGTACACTGAATTCGGTGGTGCTAGCTCTTACTATTTAGGAGTTGTTAAATCAACACAAAGAAAACAATTAGTCCTGTGGAACCTTAGGCTACATCTACATTGGCATGATCTTGCGCAAATACTCTTTAATGCAAGAGTTCTTGTGTTAAAGTATTTGTGCTAAAGAGCATCTACACTGGCATGTGCCTTTGCGCAAGTGATGTGCTTTTGCGCAAAAGCATCCGTGCCAGTGTAGACGCTCTCTTGCACAAGAAAGCTCCAATGGCCATTTTAGCCATCGGGCTTTTTTGCACAAGAAATTGATGTTGCCTGTCTACACTGGCCTCTTGTGCAAGAACAGTTGATTTCACACATTAGAACATCAGTGTTCTTGAGCAAGAACTCCCTGCCCGTGTAGACAGGCCGCATGTTTTTGCACAAAAGCAGCTGCTTTTGCGCAAAATCATACCAATGTAGACACAGCTTTAGAGATTAACAAATATATATGGTATCATGAACTTTTGTGGGCTTCTTTATCTCATCTGAAGAAGTGTGGTTTTCCCACAAAATCTCATGATAATATATATTTGTTAGTCTTTAAGGTGCCACAGGACTACTCATGGTTTTTAAAATTACAGTCTAACACAGCTACCCCCCCAAGACTTTTAAAAACAAAGAGAGGTACTCTCAAATATATAGTAGATTTGCTGTTAATACATTTGTGGCCACTAGGGGAACTTCACAGAATCATAAGGTTGGAAGAGACCTCAGGAGATCAATGAGTCCAAACCCCTGCTAAAAGCAGGACCAATCTCACCTAAATCATCCCAGCCAGGGCTTTGTCAAGCAGGGACTTAAAAACCTCTAGGGATGGAGATTCCACCACTTCCCTGGATTACCCATTCCAGTGCTTCCCCGCCCTCCTAGTGAAACAGTTTTTTTAAATAGCCAACCTAGACCTCCCCCACTACAACTTGAGACCACTGCTTCTTGTTCTGCCATCTGTCACCACTGAGAACAGCCTCTCTCCATCCTCTTTGGAATCTCCATTCAAATAGTTGAAAACTGATACCAAATCTCTCCTCACTCTTCTCTTCTGTTGACTAAATAAACCCAAATCCTTCAGCCTCTCCTCATAAGTCATGTGCTCCAGCTCCCTTATCATTTTTCTTTCCCTTTGCTGGACTCTTTCCAATGTATCCACATCTTTTCTGTAAAGGTGGTGGGGGCAGAATTGGATGCAATACTCCAGTACTGGATGTGGCCTCATCAGTGTTGAATAAAGGGGAATAATCACTTCCCTAGATTTGCTGGAAATGCTCCTATGCTGTTAGTCTTTTTGGCTACAAGAGCACCCTGTTGACTCATATCCAGCTTCTCATCCACAGTAATATCCAGGTTCTTTCCTCCAGAATTGCTGCTTTGCCAGTTGGCCCTCAGTCTGTAGCAGATCTTGGGATTCTTCTGTCCCAAGTGCAGGACTCTGCACTTGTCCTTGTTGAACTTCATCAGATTTCTTTTGGTCCAATCTTCATGGTTGTCCCTATGGTGCACACTTGCCATTTCACAAGGTCAGCTAACTTAGAACCTCCTGCTCACCTGGAGCTACTGGAAAGTCTCCACTGGGTTACTAGTACATGTCCTATAGCTAAGGCCCTACCAAATTCACAACCCATTGTCAATTTCATGGTTTGGGTATTTTAAATATAATCAAGATTTCAGCTATTTAAATCTGAAATTTCATGGTGTTGTAACTATAAGGATCCTAACCCATAAAAGGGTTTGCAGGAGGTTGTAAGACTATTGTGGGTGGTTGTGGTACTGCTACCCTTACTTCTGCTCTGCTGAAGAGTGGCAGCTGCTGGCCAGGAGCCTAGCTCTGAAGGCAAAGTCAGCTCCAGCATCTGTGCAAAAATAAGGACTGCATGGCAGGCCACCTCTCTCCAGCTGCCCAGCTCTAAAGGCAGCAATTCAGTAAGGCTGGCAGTACTGCGACCCCCTCAAATAATGTTGTGACCCCCTGCAACTGCCCTTTGGATCAGGATACCCAATTTGAGAAACAGTGGTGAAATCTATATAACATATGGTAAAAATACACAAAAGACCAGGTTTCAGGTGACGTATTTTTCAGGGCCATGAATTTGGTAGGGCCCTACTTTATAGTAAAGAGTTGAGCAGTTTTGATTCCATCAATTAAAAGGCAGTGGATGGCTCATGAGCCCATTAATTACACCATATCATGGTGCAGTGCATACTCCTAAGCATGTCAGATATTGAGGTTTGCTCTGGGTTACTTAAATTTTTTTTAAGCCACTTTTCAGGGATGAGGTTTGAACACTTAATTTGATCAAAAAGGCAAATAGGATGCTAGGAATTATTAAGAAAGGGATAGAAAACAAGACCCAGAATATCTTACTGCCCCTGTATAAAACTATGGTACACCCACATCTTGAATACTGTGTACAGATGTGGTCTCCTCACCTCAAAAAAGATATTTTGGCCTTGGAAAGGGTTCAGAAAAGGGCAACTAAAATGATTAGGGGTTTGAAATGGGTCCCAAATGAAGAGAGGTTAAAGCAACTGGGACTTTTCAGTTTAGAAAAGAGGAGACTGAGGAGGGATATGATAGAGGTATATACAATCATGAGTGGTATGGAGAGGGCGGATAAAGGAAAGTTATTTATTAGTTCCCATAATAGAAGAACTAGAGGACACCATATGAAATTAATGGGTAGCAGGTTTAAAACTAATAAAAGAAAGTTCTTCACACAGCATGTAGTCAACCTGTGGAACTCCTTGCCAGAGGAGGCTGTGAGGCTAGGACTATAACAGTTTAAAGAGAAGCTAGATAATTTCATGGAGGTTAGGTCCATAAAAGGCTATTAGCCAGGGGATAGAAATGGTGTCCCTGGCCTCTGTTCGTCAGAGGCTGGAGAAGGATGGCAGGAGACAAATTGCTTGATCATTGTCTTCGGTCCATCCTCTCTGAGGCACCTGGTGCTGGCCACTATCAGCAGACAGGACACTGGGCTAGATGGACCTTTGGCCTGCCCCAGTATGGCCGTTCTTATGTTCTTATGATCCCGGCTCATTTCAGGGTGGTTCTGAAGCACTAAAGGTGGCTTGATAACTGCCATAGGAATCCTACATTGATCTTTACCTTTGTGTTCGTATAGAACGTTTCTTCTTTCTTCAATCCAAGGCATGCCACTTGAGTTTCAAATTCTTCTAGTTGCTCTGTGCTCATGTTTTGGGCCCGGGCTGTTTTTAAAGATAAAATGTTAAATTGCAGAAAATCATTTGGCAGAGTTGGTTTTAGGAGGTGTAGTGGCTGCATTGTATCTTTGGTCTGTCTGAGGCTTTCACAGCAACAAAGGCTAATACTCAGATCACCTACTCCAGTAGCATGTACCTATGCTCATTGAGCTAAGGGAGCTGAATCCCCTTCATATTCTTTGCTGGAACCCTCCATTTCTCCTATTGGTGTTGTTGGGTATTGGAGGGAGCAGAAGAGACTTATTTGGTCAGCCCGTCTCCAGTGGGAGATGAGAAGAATCAGGCCAACCCATGGAGGGCAGGGGCAAAAGGGCAGTTGCCCTGATACTGGGAGATACCTCCTGGCTGGAGTCCAGGCCTCTTTGAGTTGCCACTGGAGCACCACTCCGTGCAGCTCTAAGGGTTTGTGGAGGGGGTGCCATGGTCTGGGCAGTGCTAAGGGCTGACTACTGTCAGTCCTGCCCCTTCTACCTTTGGCCCGGCACAAACCTTTGGCCCCCCACACCTAGCCCTGGGGTCCAAAGTGTCTGTCTTCCCTACTGGGAAGAGTTATGGGGTATCCCTAAAATCAAGACTGGTTCTGAGACTTTAAATATTTACCCTCCTGGCTACAATGTTCTTATTGTAGGACCTAGATAATTGTTAAGCATCTACATTGTTTGGACCACTTGGAAATAGTGACCATAATGTAATAAAATGTAACATCCTTGTGCTGGGAAAAACACTTTAGCAGCCCAACACTGTGGCATTTAATTTCAGAAAGGGGAACTACACAATAATGAGGTTAGTTAAACAGAAATTAAAAGGTACAGTGAAAAAAATAAAATCCTTGCAAGCTGCATGGAAACTTTTGAAAGACAGAGGAATAGAGGCCTAACTTAAATGTATACCCCAAATTAAAAAACACAGTAAGGGAACCAAAAAATTGCCACTTTGGCTTAGCAACCAAGTAAAAGAAGCAGCGAGAGATAAAAAGACATAATTTAAAAAGTGGAAGTTAAATCCTATAGATTTAGGACAATAGAAAGGAGCATAAACTCTGTCAAATTAAGTATAAAAATATAATAAGAAAAGCCAAAAAGGAAATTGAAGAAAAGCTAGCCAAACACTCAAAAAGTAATAGTAAAATGTTTTTTAAGTACATTGTGTCATCAGTCATGCTTGTGGTTTTCCCAATGGGTTCTTGACGGGTCCTCTACTCCATCAATGATGATAAACTTTCAGCTGTGTGTAAGTGTGCATGTGCTCCCCTGTCTAGCACATTAACCATGCATAATTAGTTAACACAACAGACTCCCGAGAGCCCCCAGAGACCACTAATCAGTTAAGGATTGAGTGCACCCAAGTAGGTTTATTGCCAAGCAACATACAATAATAGTTGTCGGCGAACAGACTCGCTGCTGCACCACTATGCCTTATGGAAAAATGGTCTGAGGTAAATAGAATGAAGTTTAATAAGGACAAAGTACTCGACTTAGGAAGGAACAATCCATTTCACACATATAAAATGGGAAGTGATTGTTTAGGAAAAAGCACTGCAGAAAAGGGTCTATGGGTCATAGTGGAGCACAAACTAAATATGAGTCAACCGTGTGACATTGTTGCAAAAAAAACCAAACATGATTCTGGGATGTATCAACAGGAGTGTTGTGAGCAAGACACCAGAAGTCATTCTTCCACTCTACTCTGCATTGATTAGGCCTCAGTTGGAGTATTGTGTCCAGTTCTGTGTACCACATTTCAAGAAAGATGTGGAGAAACTGGAGAAGGTCTAGAGAAGAGCAACAAAAATGATTAAAGGTCTAGAAAACATGAGCAATGAGACAAGGCTGAAGGACTTGGGCTTGTTTTGTTTGGAAAAGAGAAGACTGACAAGTGACATAATAGCGGTTTTTAGGTATCTAAAATGGTGTCACATGAAGGACCTTGTTCTCCTTGGTCTTTGATGATAGGAGAAGAAACAATGGGGCTAAACTGAAGCAAGGGAGGTTTAGGTTGGACATTAGGAAAAACTTCCTAACTGTCAGAATGGTTAAAAACTGGAACAAATTGCCTAGGGAGGTTGTGGAAGTGCTATCACTGGAGATATTTAAGAGCAGGTTGGATAGACATCTATCAGGGATGATCTATATGGTACTTGATCCTGCCCTGAAAGCAGTGGACTAGATTTGATTTCTCAAGGTCCCTTCCAGTTTTCATATTCTGAGAGTCTATGTATGCTGTGACAATGGACTAAAACCCAACAAAATGCTTTGGATTTTAACTCCCCCCCCAGTCAGTCAACAATCACCCTTTGGGGTGCACTTTTATACAAGGTACAAACAAGCTACATATCACTCCTGACGTATCAGGTTGCCACCCTCTATTAGCTAGTTACCGTCCCTTACCTCACTCAAGGGGGTTTTCCATTACTATCCATCATGCTGTCAATTTAGATCCAGTCCTGGACCTGGCGTGGAATGTATGTTATTTGTGGGGTGTGGTCTAGGGATGTAATAGTATAGCTGATTAACTGATTAACTGATAATCAAAAGCATATAGGTTAATGCTATAGACTACATGCATTTCCCTCTGCAACAAACCTTGCCAGAAAATTTTGTAGCAGGCTGGCCAGCAGCCCAGATCAGTCCCGGCTTGCACTAGGTCCTGGACCTACCTGCACTGTAGCTCTGCATTTAAAGTGTATTAGGAGCCAAGCGGACAGTCTCAGTTCCGGCTTGTGCCGGGTTCAGGAGCTCAAACCCCTCCTCACCCTGGACAGGGGCTTCCTGAGGACTATAGAATAGTCAACTAGCTGATAAGAATTCATGAGGTTAATCGACTATTCAATTAACTGATATTTAACATCCCTACTGAGTGCTGGTACGAAGATGTTCATTAGTGAGATGTTCTGTTACAACCCTTCTGGAATGTGCTCACAGCCTGTGCCTGGCACCTTTTGGCATTCTTTATGCTTGATCTTGCTTGGCTTGTACTATTTCTCTTTAGCCATGCCTCTTTCTTGTTTGCAGTTTCACTGAGCCAAAGTCTTGCTCGCTAGATTTCAGGCCTGCTGATTTTGTGTTATAGACCCTCAACTTACTACACATCAGAAGCAGGAAGCCTGCTAAAAAACTAATAGGCCCCTGGACGATAGAGATGCTAAAGGAACACTCAAAGATGATGAAGTCTTTGCTTTGGTCTGCATGGCTGAGGATGTTAGGGAGATTCCCAAACCTGATCTATTCTTTTCAGGTGACAAATCTGAGGAACTGTCCCAGACTGAAGTGTCATTAGAGGAGGTTTTGGAACCAAGTGATAAACTTAACAGTAACAAGTCACCGGGACCAGATAGCATTCACCCAAAAGTTCTGAAAGAACGCAAATGTGAAGCTGTGGAACTATTAACTGTGATTTGTGACCTATCCTTTAAATCAGCTTCTGAACCTAATGATTGGAATATAGTTAATGTGATACCAATATTTAAAAAGGGCTCTAGAGGTGACCCTTGCAATTACAGGTTGGTAAATCTAACATCAGTACTGGGCAAATTAGTTGAAACAATAGTAAAGTCTAAAATTGTCAGACATATAGAAGAGCATAAGGGAAAAGACAACATGGTTTCTGTAAAGGAAAATCATGCCTTACTAGTCTACTAGAGTTCTTTGGGGGAGGAGGAATGTCAACAAACATGTGGACAAAGGAGATCCAGTGGATATAGTGTACTTAGATTTCCAGAAAGCCTTTGACAAGGTCTCTCACCAAAGGCTTTTAAGTAAAGTAAGTTGTCATGGAATAAGAGGGAAGGTCTCATGGATTGATAACTGGTTACAAGACAGGAAAAAAAGGGTAGGAATAAATTATAAGTTTTCAGAATGGAGAGTGGTAACTAGAGGTGTCCCCTAATGTCCTTACTGGGACCAATCCTATTCAACCTATTTATAAATTATCTAGAGAAATAGTTAAACAGTGATGTGGCAAAATTTGCAGATGATAGTAAACTGCTCAAGATAACTAAGACCAAAGCAGACTGTGAAGAGCCTTAGAAAGATTTCACAAAACTAAGTGATTGGGCAACAAAATGGCCAATTAAATTTAATGTTGATAAATGTAAAGTAATGCACATTGGAAAAAATAAACCCAACCATATGATAAATTGTGCTATAGAACTTTTGTTTGATCCTTCAGAAAAACAGGTGTGAGGGTTGGTTAGAATATTCAATCCAAACCTCAGGAGAAATGTAATATAAACCTGCAACTAAAATGGTGGGGTGCATCTACATAGCAAGGCTTAACTTAACTTAACTATGCGAATTGAACTAGGTCTATTGTGTAGCTTATTTCGAAATTGGGAGCATCTACACAGCACCTATTTCGAAATAGAGTACTCGTCCTCTGACTTCCCTTACTCCTCGTACAATGAGGGTTACAGGAGCCCAAGTAAGAAGTCCTCCAGCTTGACAGTATTTTGACATTTCAAAATAACTGCCTGCTGTGTAGACGTGGACTAAGTTATTTCTAATAACGCTAGTTATTTTGAAATAATGTTACTGTGTAGATGTACCCATATGGACTCATTTAGCTATAACTACTTAAGATGGGGATCTTGGAGTCACTGATGATAGTTCAAAAAAGCAAACAATGTTAGGAATAATTAAAAAAGGGATAGAGAATAAGACAGAGAATATCTTATTGCCTCTATATAAAACAATGGTATGCCCACATCTTGAATACTGCATACAGATATGGTCTCCTCATCTCAAAAAAGATATATTGGCATTGCAAAAGGTACAGAAAAGGGCAATCAAAATGATTAGGCGTTTGGAATGGGTTAGATTAAAAAGACTGGGACTTTTCAGTTTAGAAGACAGGAGACTGGGGCTACGTCTATATTGTAGCCTTCTTGCAGAAAAGCATATGCAAATTAAGCATGGCATGGAATATCACCACACTTCATTTGCATAATTAATGAGTAGCCATTTTTGCACAAGAGGCTTTTGTGCAAGAGCCATTCTTTCTCATTTTTTGAGGAAGAATGGCTCTTGTGCAAGAGGGGTTTTTGCGCAAAAAGGAGCTATCTACACAGCTTTCTGTGCAAAAGCCTCTTGTCCAAAAATGGCTGCTCATTAATTATGCAAATGAAGCTTGGCAATATTCCATGCCATGCTTCATTTGCATATGCTTTTACGCAAGAAGGCTCCAGTATAGACATAGCCTAAGGGGGGATATGATAGAGGTCTATAAAATCATGACTGGTGTGGAAAAAGTGAATAAGGAAAAGTTATTTACTTGTTCCCATAACATAACTAGGGGTTACCAAATGAAATTAAGAGCGAGCAGGTTTAAAACAAACAAAAATAAGTTTATCTTCATGTAGAACACAATCAACCTGTAGAACTCCTTGACAGAGGATATTGTGAAGAACAGAACTTTAACAGGATTTAGAAAAAAACTAGATAAATTCATGGAGGTTAGGTCCATCAATGGCTATTAGCCAGGATGGGTAGGACGGGTGTCCCTTGCTTCTGTTTGCCAGAGTCTGGAAATGCATGACAGGCAACGGATAGCTTGCTTCTGTTTGCCAGAGGCTGGAAATGCATGACAGGCAAGGGATCGTGTAATGATTCTCTGTTCTGTTCACTCCCTCTGGGACATCAGGCATTGGCCGCTGTTGGAAGACTGGACCTTTGGTGTGACCCAGTATTGCTGTTCTTATGTTCAAAAGAACTATAGCCAGCCATAGTTCTTACCCAGACCAGACAAGGCAGCTATTTAATTGTCGTGCCCTATCCCTGCCTCTCTTTCTCTAGTCAGGAAGTTTCTTTTCAAGTGGGGGATCAGAAAGAAGGGTGATCTTGTAGTTTAGGGCACTGGTTCTTGAGAGGCCTGCATTCAGTCCTGGGCTCTTCTTGTGTGCTATTAGCCTTGGCACTTAATTTACTCTGTGCCTCAGTTCCTCCCCTGTAAAACAGAGATAATTAAACTGCTCTGTTTCACAGGGGGTTTGTGAAGATAACTTCATTACTATTTGTGAGATGATGAGGCGCTGTTGTGACTGGGGCTACATAAGGACATAGTTAGCCTGCGATACCCTGACTGCTGCTGAGATGTGGTTTACTTACCAGAGGTTGATAATCCTTTGTGGTTCTCACCAACGTGGTATAGTGTCATAATGTCTTTGAAGCTGCTCTTGATAAGTTGTGCTACAGAACTTTCGTTTGACCCTTCAGGAGAACAAGTATGAGGAATGGTTAGAGTATTCGGTACTCCAATACTTAGAAGATATGTAATATAAACCTGTAAGGGCATTTGACTATATTGTGATTTGGTAGCACTGTGTATAGGTGCAAAAGTTCAGCTCATAAAGATGTAAACTGGTGTTTAAATATGGCTTGGCAGACCAATGTGGCTGTGTTCGCTCCTTCCTACATAACCCCTCTTCCCCCCCCGAGAAATTAGTGTTAGCTGGCAGCAAAATGATCAGCATTGGCAGTTCTGTGTGTTTATTGCACAGAGGAATCCTCGGCTACGTCTACACTGGCAAGATTTTGCGCAAATACTTTTAACGGAAGAGTTTTTCTGTTAAAAGTATTTGTGCAAGAGAGCGTCTACACTGGCATGTGCTTTTGCGCAAAGCATCCATGCCAGTGTAGACGCTCCATTTTAGCCATCGGGCTTTCTTGTGCAAGAAATTAACGTTGCCTGTCTACACTGGCCTCTTGCGCAAGAGGGCTTATTCCTGAGCGGGAGCATCAGAGTATTTGCACAAGAAGCACCGATTTTGTACATTAGAACGTCAGTGTTCTTGTGCAAATACTCTGGCAAGATTTTGCGCAAAAGCAATTGCTTTTGCCCAAAATCTTGCCAATGTAGACACAGCCCTCTTGTTCAAGCCACTGTTCTGAGTGGGACCAGATAAAAGTGTGGTAGAAATGTAGGGGAGAAACCTTCCAACCTCTCCAACCCCAACCCAATCCACCCTTCCTGATGTGATACATTTCTGCTTTCTTTCAGAGCACCTCTGGATTCTTACCTGGCTTGATCATAGTCAAATTGTTCTGGGTGACTGAAATGTAACTGGAGTTGTCCACCACACACTTGTCCTTCCTAAAGGGGAAGAGAGTAATCTGGCTGATGCTCTATGGCTAAGTTAAATGCTGCTGTTAACCATGCCTCTATCAAGCACAGCTCCTCACACCATCTTTCTGTAAGTATATTGCATTAGCACACTATCTAGTGAGGTCAATCTGAGAGGATTCTAAGAGTTGCTGATCCCACCCTTCAGTTCCCGAGTAGCACTTTGTGTGTATGAGAATAGGATTTGATGCAGGATTGACAGCCTTGATTTTAACCCTAGTGCATAACACATACAATGCAGGCCACAGGTTCTCTGTGAGGCAACAGTGGAGCCTGCTGTCCTGAAGATCAGGGACTCCTCTGAATGGGTAGACCTAAAATAGGGGTGGGCAATAATTTTTTGCTGGGAGGCCACTTTGGAAAATTTTGAAGGGATGGGGTCAAGATATTTCTGGGTTCCCCACCCCCAGACAATGATTGGTCTGGGGGTCAGGGAGTGCCTTCCCCCCCCATTCTCCCAAGGTGCCCATGCCCCTGGGGTGAGAGGAGACTTCCCGCGCTCCCCTGCCCCTAGGCCAATTATGGTCTGGGGGCAGAGGAGCATGCAAAGCCTTCTTTGCTCTGCCCCAGCCCTGTGAGCAGTGCATGACGCTTAAGAGTGCCACATGCTCCTGGCAGAGCCAGAGGAGGCTTCATGCACTCCCCCGTCCCCAGGCCCTAATTGGCCTGGGGATGGGGGAGCGGCAGGGCTTCTGCAGGCCAGATCCACTGGATCCAGCCTGCGGAGGCCCTTTTGCCCACCCCTGGCCTAAGAGGAAGAGATGGAGTTAGGGAAGGCTGCAGAGGGTGGCTCCTGGTAGTGGTCTTGATAAGCATGCAATAGCCATATGATCCAAGTTGTGTGTCAGGGACCTTCAAGCTCAGGGTATGTCTACACTATGCAGCTTTGTCATTAAAAGCTTGTGTGAATCCTATTTACTTCTGCCCCTACACAGGCCCACTGAGGAGGAGGCAAAGGGGACGGTTGACACGGGTCCCAGCGATTCAAAGGGCCACAGGCTGGGCAGTTCTGAGAGGGTGAGCTGGGGTGCCATGTGCTCTGGGCGACGCTGAGGGCTATCTGTCTTCAGCCCCCCTTCCACCTGAGGCCCCTCCCTTCGTGGAGCACTGAGCCCTCTCCTTTGCCCAGGGGCCCAGCAAGTCTGTCAACTCCCATACTCCTATGGGGGAGGGGTTCGCTTTGTTGGCAGGAGAGTGCTCCTGCTGGCAGCAGCATTCACACTTTCACTTTTCACTTGCCGCAGCAAAACATTGTCGTTCATGGAGGGGAGGGGTCAATGCCTGTGAATGACAAAAGTTTTGTGGATCAAGTGCAAGTGTAGACAGACCCACAGTTAAGAGTCACACTGTAAGAAAGTCTTTACACATTCTGTTTCATTAGTGATAGTTCCTCGTAACCTGGCTCTATGGAGGGAAATGTTAGTGTAAATATTATCCCTGAGTAAGGGATCACGTTGTTGTCAGTAAGGCCTGTGTTAATGCTCTTACAATCTCATGACTTCTGTGACGAGGAATGTGTCTTGCTGGCTGCTAGGGTAGAGGAAGAAATAAGCGTTCGTTATCGATTCCAGCTCTTGTACGGTGCGTGGATGATTTGAGGCCCCACCAATGTAGAACCACTTGCCCAGCAGCTGTGAAGAGGAGGAGGGGAGAAACAAAAACAAATTGTTAGGCGGCCCTATAAGCCTCAGGATGTGTATGTGTAATTATGTATTTATTTGTATTATATTGTGTATTTGGTCTCAGTCAGGATCAGGGCCCACTTGGTACAAGTCATGGTACGGACACAGAGGGGAATGGCCTCTCTTCTGAACTTACAACTTAAGTAGACCTATTGTTTTGTGGCAGTAAGTTTTGTGGCAGATTGTCTGTTACTCTGTGTTTTCTCACAGCTGGTGGTAATAGCCTCTTCATTCATCTGAAGAAGGGTATGTCTACACTTGCCTTCTAGTTTGAACTAGGGAATCAAATGAAGCATACTGACGTTGCTAATGAAGCGCAGGATTTAAATATCCCATGCTTGATTAGCATAGTCGTGGCCGGCTGCCATTTTAAAAAGCCAATAGCCCGAATTAACTTGCCGTGTATAGATGCAGTAGTCCAATCCAAAACCCTTCCCTTGAATTAACTGTTACTCCTCATTGCAAGTATAAACGTACCCGAAGTGGGCTGTGCCCACAAAAGCTCATGATACCATCTACATGTTTTGTTAGTCTCTATGGTTTTGCAGGACCATTCCTTGTTTTTCAGTTTTTTCAGTTACAGACTAACATGGCTCCCTGTCGGAGCCATCTTACCTGGTGGAACTAAAGCTTCCCTTGGAAGAGGATCAAGGGGTTGAAAAGCCACAACGTGCTCTTTATGTCATCTAAACCGTCTGTGCAATTCTCTATGCCATGGATGTGACCCAAGAACCCTGCTACCCATTCTTCCCAAAATGATGGTGAGTATTTTAGGGGTGTGTGTGAGTGTTTTTGTTTTCAAACTTGGGGGGAGGGGTTGTGCTTGACCACATGCCTGAAGGGAGGGAACGCAGTGGATGAGGAAAGCTGCAAGATGCCTGATACAATCCCATCCAATGGAATAAACATAC